AACTTGTATTATCCTTGGTCCATTTACAGACCAAACGCTCTTCGACCTGTCTCCTGCAAGATTACAATAGCATTCCGGAGGCAATCAGGGCGTGCCTGTAGCGCCCAGAAAGGGAGAAAAATGTGCAATCTTTTGCTAGCTTTATGCCAAACCCACGAATCCACATTATGACATGGAAATATCAGACGCATTCCCAAGAGAATGTTCATCAGTTTTTTTTTTTTTTTTTGTGGCCAGCAAGTTTTGTTTAGCTAACATTTTATTCAAGAAAAATTGACAAGCATTTATTCAAGAGAAAATTGATGAGCATGCTAAATCTTGTTTACACCAAGCAAATGCGAATACAAGAACAATGGAGAGGGAAGACACTGATCTTCCTACTGCTATATTTGAGCATGGGCCCAAGTTGAAGTATGTTAGACAAAGAAAAAGCCCAATTCGGATGTGTAATGCTTTTATGTGATAAGGGTAATTGTGGGTTTTCCTCTAGAAGTTAGTTATGGGAAGGGATGAGTATAATTGGGGAAGTTGGGATAGAGAGGGGATATGAAAAAAGAGAGAGAGAAGTAGGAGAGGCCGTGAGGCTCTAGGGAAATGCTGTGAGCATTTCGGTTTCGTTTTCCTTGCTGTAATTCTCCATTGGAGCCTATCCGTGGAGTTTGGCCATTGAATAATACATTTCAGCATTGAATCTTCATTAAAGGTATCAGAGCAGTTCCTTCTTGGGGAATGGTAAATACCAGAATGGAAACGAGGATTGATGAGGTCGATTCTAGAGTCCTCCGAACCGAGCATTCCATTGAGCGTTTGAGTGGAGAAGTGTCGTCTATCAAATCCGATATCACGACGGTAAAGTGTGATGTCGCTACCTTAACTTCCTTGCTTGAACGAGTTGCTAGGTGAATGGCGTGCGGGCAAAAGTGGTGATGCCGCCGGAGGTTCGACTACCCAAACAACAGGTACGCCTCGGGATCGAGATCGAGGAACGTAGCGGGGGTGAGGGGACGGACAGCTCCAGCTTTAGGAGGCTCGATATGCCTCTGTTCTCAGGAGATGACCCCCTTGGGTGGATTTTTAAAGTGGAACGCTACTTCAAATTTAATCGGGTGGTGGAAACCGAGAAACTGGATGCTGCGTATTGTGCCTGGAAGGACGCGCACTCAATTGGTTCCAGTGGAAAGAAGTGCGGGCCCCTGTTTCGACTTGGCTTGAGCTGAAACGCGACTTGGTACTTAGATTTCATCCATTGCAATGTGGCAGCTCATGAAATGTTGATGGCTCTACGCCAAGACAAATCTGTTGCCGATTACATTGAGCGATTCGAATTAATCTCTGCAACCTTGGGGAATTGTCAAGAAGAGGTTCTTGTTGCTGCATTTCTGAATGGCTTGAAAATGGAGATCAAGGCGGACCTACGCTTGATGAAATTGGGTTCCCTGACTGCGTATATGGACATGGCTCTACGGTTGGAAGAACGGAACGGTGTGATGGCCCAATATTATAGCCCACGCTCATCTGGGCCGCCTAGACACTGGGCCGAAGACAGGTTCCAAGGACCTAGAGTTTCGTCCACTCGCCTGAGTCCTCAATCATCTCCTAGCCAGTCCACGGCAGCGTCTACACTAAGTACAGCCCGAGCGGCAGAAAGCAAATCAACCGATGATAGCAAGAAGACCACGATTCCAGTTACATACACTTCCAAATCGGTCCCAAAAAAATACACCGACGCGGAAATTGAACGACGGCGAGAACTTGGGTTATGCTTCAAATGTGACGAGAAGTATCGCCCTGGCCATCGTTGCAAGAAAAAGCAATTACAGGTGCTGATTATGTCGGAGGAACCCGCTGAAGAAGACGAGCTACCATTGGAACCAGCTCACCTGGAGTTATCCGAATCAAACCTTCCTTCGGAGGCCGAGAAGCATTCCGGACAGCTTATGTCCCTGTCCCTTAACGCATTGGCTGGGTTCACGGGTGGCAAAACGATTAAGTTATTGGGGTCTCTTGGTGGGAAGGAGGTATTAATCCTGATTGATTGTGGCGCTACACATAGTTTCATCCACCAGGAGCTGGTGCTGGCTCTATCTTTACCGGTGGATTCCCATTTTGCTTTTACGGTTCAGATGGGGGATTCTCGAAATGTGAGAGGTCGTGGGGTGTGTCGTGATGTCTCCTTCTTTGTGCAAGGGCTCCACATTATACATTCCCTGTATCCCTTTCAGCTTGGGGGGTCAGACATCATCCTGGGAGCAGACTGGTTAGCATCTCTCGGTGAAGTGCTAGTTAGCTGGAAACACTCTACACTCAAGATTGATTTGGGTGATGAATGGATTTGCCTCAAGGGCAATCCGACTTTGCACAAGACTCCAATGTCTTTCAACTCTCTGTACAGAACCACCAGGTATGATGACGAGGTGTTCTTTGTGGAGTTTACTGAATTAAAAATGACAGAGATTACATACACCCCTGTGGACGATGAGGTTCAATCAGTATTAGCGGAGTTCCCTGAAGTTCAAACACCTATGGCCGGACTTCCACCTCCTAGAACAGTTGATCACACGGTTGAGTTGCAGCCAGGCGCCACTCCTCCTAATATTCGTCCCTATAGGTACCCCCATTACCAAAAGGCCGAAATTGAGCGGTTGGTGCACGAGATGCTCCTAGCTGGAATTATCCGACCTAGTAAGAGCCCATTTTCTAGCCCAGTACTCCTGGTAAAGAAAAAAGATGGTAGTTGGCGATTTTGTGTTGATTATAGGGCCTTGAATAAGGTAACCATTCAGGACAAGTTCCCCATTCCAGCTATTGAGGAGCTGTTGGATGAATTAGGGGGTGCTCAGATTTTTTCTAAACTAGATTTAAAATCTGGTTACCACCAGATACGAATGAAAGCAGGGGAAGAACATAAAACAGCCTTTCGTACTCATGATGGTCACTATGAGTTCATGGTTATGCCTTTCGGTTTGAAAAATGCCCCATCTACCTTTCAATCACTCATGAATGATATTTTCAGACAGCACCTACGGAAATTCATCTTGGTATTTTTCGATGACATCCTAGTATACAGTGGTGACCGCAACAGCCATTTCCAGCACTTGCGTATGACTCTGCAACTATTACGGCAACACCTCTTAGTGATTAATGTCAAGAAGTGCGTCTTTGCCCAACCTAAATTGGAATATTTGGGTCACATTATTTCTAAGGATGGAGTTCATGCAGACCCTTCCAAAATAGCAAGTATGCAGTCCTGGCCGGCCCCCACCAACCTGAAGAGTCTTCGTGGGTTCTTAGGCTTGACAGGGTACTACCGTCGGTTTGTGCACCATTATGGGTTGATCGCTGCACCCCTGACTGACCTCCTCAAGAAAAATGCCTTTCACTGGACTGCAGAGGCCCAGCTTGCGTTTGATAAGCTGAAGCAAGCAATGTCTTCAACTCCAGTATTAGCTCTACCGGATTTTTCCCAGCCTTTCATTGTGGAAACCGACGCCTCGGGCACTAGATTAGGGGCGGTTTTAATGCAGTCTGGACGTCCAGTTGCTTATTATAGTCATTCTTTGTCAGCTCGACGTAGAACCTGTTCTGTTTATGAGAGAGAACTAATGGCCATTGTCTTTGCAGTGAGGAAATGGCGCTATTATCTTTTGGGTCGACCATTTATTATGCGGACAGATCAAAAAGCCCTTAAGTTCCTCTTGGAACAGCGAATTCTAGATGACTCACAGCAAGGGTGGGTGACCAAACTCATGGGGTACACTTTTCAGATTCAGTACAAACCAGGGAAGACTAATTCTGCTGCTGACGCCCTGTCTCGACAGCAGGAGCACGTGGGGCTCAATGCCATTACTATGGCTCAGTCAGACGATCTGAATACCTGGGACTCTGAAGTCCAAAAGGACGACACTCTAGCTGGCATAATACAGCAGCTGGCTACTGGTCAACCGACTATTTCAGGGTATGCTCTCAAAGGTGGTCACTTATTCTTTAAAGGCAGCTTAGTCTTACCTAAGTCTTCTCCACGAATTCCCCTGTTGCTGCGTGAGTTTCATGATTCTCTGATTGGGGGGCATTCTGGGTACCTCCGAACTTACAAGAGATTGGCTGCACTCTTCTATTGGGATGGCATGCGTCGGGATGTACAGAAATATGTGGCTGCCTGCGATATTTGCCAGCGTAATAAACATCTAGCACTTAGTCCTGCTGGGCTGCTACAACCCCTTCCGATTCCCGATCAGGTGTGGACAGATATTTCAATGGACTTCATTTCCGGGCTTCCCAAATCGCAGCGATACGACACAATTTTTGTGGTGGTTGACCGTTTTACCAAGTATGCACACTTTATACCACTTCATCATCCTTATACCACCCAAACTGTTGCTGACTTGTTTATTCAGGAAGTAGTTCGACTTCATGGTTTTCCACGTTCCATTGTCTCGGACAGAGATAAACTTTTTCTGAGTAACTTCTGGAAAGCACTATTTAAAGCTGCTGGTACATCATTGAATTACAGCTCCAGTTACCATCCTCAAAGTGATGGTCAAACCGAGGTGGTTAATAGGAGTTTGGAGACATATTTGCGTTGTTTTTGTAGTGATGCTCCTCAGACTTGGGCAAAATGGTTATGCTGGGCTGAGTACTGGTTTAATACTAACTTCAACCGTTCCACTGGTTTGTCCCCATTTCGTGCGCTATACGGCCAGGACCCTCCAACCTTGTTTCGGTTCCAGGAGGCTGTATCTCCAGTGGATGCTGTTACTTTACAGCTTCAGGCCCGTAATGCTATTCTGGATGAATTAAAGCGGAATTTAGAACAGGCCCAACAATATATGAAGCGCTATGCTGATAAAAAGCGGCGCGACGTCCACTTCAATGTTGGTGATAACGTCTATCTGAAGCTACAGCCTTACAGGCAGCGTTCCCTTGCTGTTCGCCCTAATGAGAAGCTCACTCCTCGGTTCTATGGTCCCTTTCCTGTGCTGGAGCGTATTGGCACTGTAGCTTATAAGCTAAAATTACCCCCGGAAGCTAAAATTCATCCAGTGTTTCATATTTCGCAACTCAAGAAGTCACTGACCCCTGGCCTCATTTCCCATTCCTTTCCGTCCACATTAATGGCTGACCTGGAACTTCAGGTTTATCCTGAATCTGTGCTGAAGCATCGGAAACTCACTGATGGACGACTCGAACTTCTTATTAAGTGGGTTAACCTTGCCGACTGCGATAGCACTTGGGAGGATTATGATGTCATTCACCAACAGTTTCCCACTTTTCACCTTGAGGACAAGGTCAAGCTTGATGGGCGGGGTATTGTTGAGCATGGGCCCAAGTTGAAGTATGTTAGACAAGGAAAAAGCCCAATTCGGATGTGTAATGCTTTTTATGTGATAAGGGTAATTGTGGGTTTTTCCTAGAAGTTAGTTATGGGAAGGGATGAGTATAATTGGGGAAGTTGGGATAGAGAGGGGTTATGAAAAAGGAGAGAGAGAGAACTAGAGAAGTAGGAGAGGCCGTGAGGCTCTAGGGAAATGCTGTGAGCATTTCGGTTTCGTTTTCCTTGTTGTAATTCTCCATTGGAGCCTATCCGTGGAGTTTGGCCATTGAATAATACATTTCAGCATTGAATCTTCATTACTATATGAAGATCCTAGCTATAACAAATAATCAAAGCATCACAAAAACTAAGTGCAGAAACGGAAAATTTTATAAATCAATTAATCATGGGTTAGCATTAATTAATTGAGGGTACAATTATATATTTAAGTCAATAGTTATTGTATTGAATATTAAGCCCAAAACGTATTGGACCCTGGTTAATTGTATGTATTTCATGATAGGTTGGAATACATCAAAGCCTATTAGATAGAAATCTCAACCTAGAACCCTTCCGTACTAGGCTTGTCTCATATCACAAGGAGGAGATTTTATTACTATAAACTATTACTCGTTAATAATTTAACATGGGAGCTTTAAAAGGATTACTAGTATGATTTTCTTCGACATCTTAATTTTATCACACCCTCATGCCTCATAGTAGCTTTAGAAACTCCGTCTCTCTCCTTCTCTGTGATATGTGCTATGGGGTGATGTAGATTGCATCCCTATCTCTTGCTTTCTAATGGTTTCCCTAGGATTACCTACAGGCATGCAAATTATATAATATACAACTTTTACAATCTCCAATGCTCAAACCCTGTCCAAGAGGGAGAAGCCAGAGGTTTTCATGGTGAGGTATTCGAAATAAGTAGGTTCATTAACATACTGGCTCTAAGCATATGATAGAAATATTCCCTTCTTACAGCAAAAGGAACTACTAAAGATTTTTGCTTCCGACTTTTAAATCCACAGACAGTACTGAGATTCAAATCTCTGTTGACTGTTCAGTATCAACAGTGTTCAAGCCTACATTTGGTATGTGTGCGCGTGTGTGTATCAAATTTACCTGCAATACAATCAAGTATATGGCTTCCAATGCTTGAATACGAATTTCAGCATCAGTAACTGGTTCACGCTCAATTGAGAGGGCAGTCCCAAGTTCAAGTGGCATCTTTGATGTGTCTTGCTCACTATATAACTGCAAAACAATTACTTTGTTAATGGAAGAGACTAAGACACAAACTAAGTAAACCAAACCATAGATAGCTCCGGAATAATGCCTGAAACGTGGGGAGGGGCATGGATATGAAGACTAACACAAAGACCACTTGAATCTGATTGCAAGTCGGCAAAACAGGCTGGCACCCTCTTAGCAAGGATATTTTTCACATGATTTAAGAAATTTTAACTTTATTATGGCAAGATTCTTTAGAAAGCATTCTCTTCCTTTTTTCTTTATTAAACATATTATCATTCTAGATAGCAATGACGGCCCTAGATATTCACAAGATTGAGCTCTTTCATGCCTTTCAAAAGAGAATTCATGTCTTATAATGAATTACAGGGCCATGGATAGATATCAGGTAAGCAAAATTATTTCCATTCTGGAAAAATTAATGAATTAGGCTCATTCATTTTTAAGCAGTTAAGAATCTTTGGCTTAGCCAGAAGGAATCTTATTTGGCAATAATTAGAAATGCCAACAATTTAAGGTCAGAGAAGGTACAGCATATAACCTTATGGCCAGCCACTGGAAGAAGTAATGCTGGCCAGAGAAACTCAGATATCAAAAGTAAATTTTGTAGCTGACTTTCAGCTTCAAAACAACAGTTGCGTAAAGTTCCAAAGACCTGCAAGCAATCAAACATAACAACAATCTCAGTTGAGCCAAAAGCCCTGCCCAAATGCAGTCAACCGTTGAGTTTTAGTAAGTTAGAGTAATCATGACAAACAATACTGCGGTTACGGAGAGAGCATAATTAACACGCAACAATCTATAAAAGAGATAATTCATCATTCAACGTGAGCCAATCAAGAACATGAATCAGTTTGACTCCATTCACTCAGTTCAGAGATTACTAGTTTTGGAACCATAAGCTTCTCTTATGTATGCCATGCTAAACAACAGCATTAGTATGTGATTTTATATGACTAACTGAGCATCAAGCCATTGAAAAATCAAAATAACTTGGCAAACTCTAAATTGATTTGTCACTTCTTTCAAGAGTATGTAAGAAAATAGAGCAAGATGGAACAAAAAACTTTATAACAAACGCGAACTAATATCAAGCTATGCTAGCAGCGCATGAGATTGAAAATCACAAATGTACAGTAAGTTACTGCACATACCCCTTTCTTTCTCAATAAGCTGTTTGAATCAAATTGTCTAATCATCTGCTTTAAGAGACCTCTCTTTGAATCAAGCAGAAGCTTCCTTCCTGCTTGCTGCTTTGAGATATTAACAAGTATTGATCCAACATGTTCAAAAGGATCATCTATCAAAAATTAGCAGAAAAAATCATTGAACCAGAGCAACAGTATGCGAACAACTGAAGAATCATAACAGTTACATCATGTACTAGGCATAATGGATGCATGGCATGAAACCACTCTCTGTTAATGGGTAGGCAAGTAGTTTTTTTTTTTTTTTTCAATTTCTTATTTATGGACGTAGCATAGGAGGATTAGGCACGTCTTTGATGATTATGGCTTGTACTTCAGAGATTCTCTGCCTTTGCTTATTAGTGAATTGGCCAAATGAATTTCAAAAATCCGGACAAAAGAATTCTGTATAAATTCTGCAGAAGGTCAAATTCACATTGAGTTTGGAGGGACGCACCATGACTTTCATGGGTGGTTCTACAAAATGACCTGACAAGCTTCATCACATATAGTCCATGCACCTTATCATCACCAGTCTGACAACCAGCCAAGAATCAATAATTGGTATTTCCATAATATTAATAAAAAGGGGGGAAAAAAAGGATGCCACCTTCTGTATAATGACAGCAGTGGCCATTTCACCAATTCTAATAACATAGTAATGCCCCAACATTTCAGATGTCACCTCATGCACAGATGACATTCGCAGATTGAAAAAAAATAATTTTAAAGTCACATTACAAAAATACGTAGTGATCACAGATTGCAATGAGAAAACAAACCTGGAGCAAGGAAGCACTACCAGCATCTAACTGCGTTAGATTAACCAAAAGCATGACAAGCAAGCGAGTAATGATACACTCTGGCTTGTATAAAACATCCATCGCAGTTTTGATCATTCCCAATTGAACCATCTCTGCTGCTAGATTTGAGTTTTGAGATAAATTAACAAGTGCTTCAGCTGAAGGTTCAGAAACCTCCTGGAAGGGCATAGCAAATCTGTTAATACATAACTACGCCTCGAACAAATGCTACCCCAAATTGTGAATTTGCCCATGGAGAATAACATAAAAATTTCCCAAAAATTTAGTTATCTGATCTATTCCTATATCTGAGACTAAATGAACAATCTTGAAACACCAAAATAATTCATGGTTTTGTATAAGCATTTAACTGAGTTCTTTGGGACTAAAGAAACAGTTTGAGTTCTTCATTCTTTTGCATTCAGATTTGGAAACGCCGAAAAATTTAAGAACAATACATGTAAAATTGATTCTCTTTTCCGACGTGAAAGTAGATTTCAGAAGCACCTTCGGACCAGCCAAGAGTCGAGATAATGATGGTAGCACTGTCTTCGCATATTTAGCCAAGGATTGCAAGCCATCATCAGAGCCAGTTAGTCCACGAACTATATCAACAGCGACCTTCGTTATCTGTAAGTGAAAAAGGCATGCTTCAATAGAATTCGACACCATTTAAATATAAAAAAAAAAAAAAAAGAGTCCTGTCCTGCAGTAGTAACATATTCACATACACCAAATCTTGAAGGTTGCTGCATGTGAATCAAACAGGACAATATGTCAATAAGGTGACATAACCAAAGACATAGCTGTTCAAAATGAAGTCACTCCCATCATAAAGATACTATTAACAAAAGGATCTTTTGAAGTTTGATTATTCGACTCAGGAACAAGGATAGACAGGAATCCACCTCCCAGGTACGCATTTGAGTAGCTCAACGCATCTGTTCGAATGTTTGGTTTGCAATCAAATTCAGCGGATTGTTACATAAATAAAGGACTCGGGAGGATGTTTCAAGCTGAACACAGATTACAGAGTGCACTCCTGAAGAAAGCTAGTGCAAGTCAAATCCACTTGGCTAGGAAGCCAGTACTATATTCAAATGGTTATCACGTAATTGATTGTGCTGGAACTAAATTATTGTGATGTAAGAACACTGGAAAAAATAAAAAATAAAAAAATAAAATTTCCAAGCGTTTTGTCGTAGAACTCCCACAATTTCGCAGGGAAGAGGCAAAAAGTGAAAGTAAGAAACTTTACTTGAGGTGACGGAGAAGACAGAAAGCCTATAAGCTCCTCAAGCTCCGTAGCCATCGTTCCGCCACTTCTTGCAAAGGCGACTGGCGACCGCAGTGGCCTGCGTAATGCCTGTTTTTGTTCCCTGACTCAGGTGGGTTTTGCATTTGAGTTTGACGATGATACGGCCTCGTTTCGTTTCGTTTCGTTTCGTTTTCGACTTTGCGTTTCACTTTAACTGCTTTGTTTATTTTAAAAGTCCCAGCTCATTTGATAAACGAAATGGAATAAAATTTTAAAAAAATATTTTAAATAAGAAATTCTTCAATTTTTAATGGAACCGATTATAATGAAATAATAAAATAAAAATAAAAACTTTATTATGCATCAAGTTTATATTTGATGTATTCTTTAACTGCTTTATTTCCCCGCCATAATTGCTAAAAAGAAAAAAAAAGAAAAGAAAAGAAAAGTACTCTTTACTTAATTATAGCCTAGAAAACGTATACCTCACTTAAATTTTAGGTAAGTTGGATGTAAGCTTCTTAACTTTGTATAATTGACGATAAACCCACGCAATTTTTGTTGTTGTTGTTTTTTTAGCATAACCACCCCATCCTTTAATCATTCGACTCCGTCGAGTTCCAACTCTTAATGCAAAACCTACCTAACTAATTTGATTATATTAAAAAAATTAAATAAATTAGTTAATTATAATAAATATGACATATTTTTCCTAAAACATCATAATCATTTTTCTTAATTCTCTACCTCTCTTCCCTACTTGGTTATAATTAAGAGAATATTAATAGAGATAATTTTAAAAAAATGATAAATATGACAACTAAATCTTATACTACTATCTAGGACTAAAAGTCAACTTAATAATTAAATTTTATATTAATGACGGTATAAGTATTAAATTAAATAATTAATAAAAGTGAACATATGGCAATTAATTTAAGACATCTTATTTGACGCCATGGACGTTGTCTTTTTCCCCCGGTGTTCAATTATTAGCAGCAATTTCAAGGAGGCTCTTTAATACTACCTCCCATCATTAATATAATACATTGTTTAATTTTTATTTTAGTTTTAAATATAAAATCTCAATTCACTTTGTCTCTCATATTTATGTATTTTTTTTCAAGATAGTCCTTTTAGCAATGGTAGCTATAACCAATATACTCCTCCGGTCCTTAATATAGGACCCAATTCTTGAGTTGGTTTTGGTCCTAAATATAAGACCCATTTATCATATTTATCAATTTTCTCTAAATTACCCCTATAGATACTCTCTCAACCATAATCAAGTAAAAGAGGAAGATGAGGTATTAAGAAAGATGATTGTGGTGTTTTAAGAAAAATGTGTCATATTTCTTATAATTAACTAACTTACCTAATTTACTTAATCTAATCAAATTAGTTAAATGGGTCTTATATTAAGGACCGGAGGAGTACTTGATTAGCAAGGATATTTTAGGAAAAATAATACATATTTATTACAAATAACTAACTTAATTTTTTTCTTAATCTTCTTAAATTAGTCAACTAGCTCTTATAATTAAGACCGAAGCTAGTATTTCAATAATCTGCATTATAATATATCAAATGTCAAATTCTATAATATATTTTAGTGGAGTAGAGGCTTTTTAAAAAAAAAAATTTAAAGAGGCAAGTATTAATAAATGAGAGCAAACCCATAATTTTCTATTGACTGAAAAGTTTTTGTACTATTAAACTATAAGTTGATTGATAGACTTTTGAATTTGCTCAAAAAAAAAGATAGACTTTTGAAAATCATTTCTAATTATAATAATGACGTAAATCTGATTCAGATTAGCTAAATTTGTTCGGACTTTATCAAATTATAGCTGCATTATAACTCAACCTCCGCCTTGACTCATGAAGGCGGAGGAAACAAAAAAAGGTTATTTGTTGACGTGGCCAAAATACTTTTTATGCTCCATGTAATACAAAAACATATAAATATATACTATGTCTTTAATATAAAAACTAATTTAATATTTAATTTTGTTTTAAATATAAGACACTAATATATTTTATTTTTCATATTCATATTTTTTTTAAATAATCATTATAGTTGTTGTACTGATATATTTGATTAAAAAGATATTTTAAAAAAAATAATGCATATTTATTACAAATAACTAATTTAACTAATTTGTTTGATTTACGTAAATTAATCAACCGACTCTTAATATCAAGAAAGGATGTACTATTATTAACTTATGAAAACAAGTCTTCCCATATTTTGAGCCATTCGAAATACCCATGATACTCCTTTGATTTTTTTTTTATATTAATAAGATCTAATTTGAGATTATCTAATTATTAAAAACCTAACAATAATAAGCGTAATATTGGTATATAATATTTTAATTAAAATTAATTACGAGACTACCAACCATGTTTTAATTTGAGTTAGCGTTAGATAAAGTAAAGTTTATAAAAATGTTGACTTCATAATTGATTGTAATCATGATCTTAGATTTATAACTAATTTTGATATGTATAAGGGGTGTTTGAATTTTCCTTTTTTCTTTTTTCTTTTTTTTTTGGAGAAAACCGTGGTTTTAATTTTTCTTTTCAGTTCCACCCAGAATTTTTTTTTTCAAATTTATTCTTAAAATCATAGTTATAAATCAATTTTTTCCAAATATATTTTCTCGCTACTAATTGCCATAAGCCCAATGTTTTCTCTTGCTAAGGAAGGCTCAGGAAGATATGAAAGAAAAGCCGAGTGGGTTACTCGGAGACTCATGTTTAACTGCTAATAACGAGCCTAACCCTGACGGTCTGATAGGGATGACGATTAGCATCTAACGGAATGTTTCCTTTTTTATTTTCTTCTTCTTCTTCTTCTTCTTCTTTTTTGCGCTTGTTTTTAACACAAGTTGCATCCGCTTTTTGATTTGATTTGACGACATAACATAGCTGAAGGGTACGCGACGCCAAAACCAGAAGGCATAATCATTTTCATTGATCGTAGCGACATTACGGCAATCACCGGGTGCCCACAAAAACGCTGTTTAAGGCAGCTTTTATCTGTCGGTGTCCAAAAGCAAAGATCTTGAAGCAAGTGAACCAAATTGTCATTAAAAATGAAAAATTAAACCTTTTGCTCAATTCTGTCTGCGAAACGCCTAGGCTTGGGAATCAGCAGTGCAGTGCGGATCTTGGTAAAGGACCACACCAGTTTGGCTGCCTAAAGATTTACCCACTTTTGCTTGATTTATCCTACTTTGTGAGGAAGATTCCGTCGGTGTATATTACCCATGTTAGATCCTTCACTCACCCCATCATTATCCCGCCTCCGGTCTGCTCTTCGATGAGGTATTACCAGACACGGAGTTTTAGATTTCTCTTAGCATGGTCTTGCTGGCACTTGATTTTTTTTCGTGTTTAAACACCTCATTTTGGAAAATATTCTGTGAAACATTGCTGGTTTATTGATTCCTATGTCATTTCCATCTCTTCATTTCTCCTTCTGAACTTTGTAATTCACTTTTTCTTTCCCTTACTCGCGGCCAGAAGTGATGCAGTTCACTTTCTGAAGGTCGTTCGTATGTCTATGCTTTATCTTCATGTTTGTTATCTCAATTGATAATCCATAATGAGTTTTGAAGGGTGATTGCACCCCTTTCACTCTTTATTTTCTTTCCTATTTGGAAGTGGCATTTTCAATGAATGCCATGCCTTTCATACTCATAGAGTAGAATGACGGAATACACTTCCTCAGCTTCATATGGTAATATTGATTATAAAATATCATTATAGTAGTGATGCTGAATACATCCGTCTGCCAACTATTGGTTGTTCTAACTTGAGCACTTGAGTCTATGTAGTCAAGACTGTCAAATTTGATACATGCATAAACATTAATTACATAAGCATATAGGGACTTGTACATGTTTCAGTTTGGAAGTTGGATATGGTGATGCACTGGTGAGATGATTAGTTTTTGAGTTGCTTGTCATCCTCTTGTGGTGAAAGTGAAAACATGGAAATATTTTTGCAGATGACGCTGTCCACATCTGAATTGTGGGACTTGCTCTGCAATGGCGCAATATAGGAACAATGGTGAATTCTTCATTGATCATGGATCTCGGGTCTTTCGTCGAAATAGAAGGTTTGGTCGTTTTACTAAACAGAGACTTTCAGAATCGTCGTTACTTCTCACTGCACTACTGTCATTATCTTTGACAGCTTTTGGACTGAGAATGTTTTTTCTAGGTGAGGCTGGAGACTTGAAACGTGTAATGTGGAACATACATATAATGCTTATATGCTCTGTTATATATACATAAGTATAGACACATCAATTTATCACTTCCCTTATGCTTCTTGTTCCATTCCTCAGTAAAGTTTTGTTTTTGATTTCTCGTGTCTATATGATCATTAACTTGTATGGATAGAAAAATTATTGTTTTAACTGAGATTTTTGAAGGTTTTATAGAAATAGTATCAAATTGTAAGTGGTGTGTCAAAGAATTTTGCTTCTTATATTCATGGAATGGTTCCTCTACAGCTAAAATGGACTCCAAGCCCCCAATTTTGGACTCAAAGTCCCAAGTTTTCCACAAACTGAAAGAAGCAAGCTTAAAAGAAGCAATTTTGGCATCTGATGTCGGAAGGCCACCTAAAAGCAAGCATCGGAAGCAACGTAAGAGTCAATATCTTGCACTTCAATGAGTCAATATTATCATTATACTGGTATTTAAGTGCTGTACTTCCGCTATTCTATGATACCTTTTCACATGGATATTACGTTTGATTGTTCTGGTTCTGATTAGGTTTTGATTTATGAATTTAAATTTTACTGTGAATTATGGGATAGTGGTTATCTATGTCGTTGATAACTATGATTTAGTACTTTTGGTTTAGATGGAATTTATTCACATTATAACTGTGCAGTCTATATGTCTACGAGTAGGATTGGTACTTGCTCGGTTTAGAGAAAGAACCTGGTGTCAATTTCTCTTTTCAGTGCCTCACCCATAGATGGCACTACTGTCATTATAAGGGTCACATGGCTTGCACATAATCCCCATTAGGGCTTACCTTAGCAACTGTTTCTGAGAATGTGTTGCAGCCGGGAGATGATGATATAGTGCTAGCATCCCTTGATTGCCATAAGATGTGAAAGGTGAACAAATTAGTGTCAAACCAATGGTTAAAACTTGCTAAAACTTTCTGAACTCAAAACTCAATGGAAACACTACTAAATAAGATTTGCCAAGGATCTGTTCCTTTCCTTTAATCTATGACTTAGCAGAGATTCAGCTAGTGGCCTCTTTATTAAATGTATTTTTTAAAAAAAAAAGAGAGAGAGAGACCTTTTGAGTTCTTGATTTGATGATAATAAATAACCGCTCATCCTTAAAATTTGTTGACCATCTTTTCAATTATTTATCAGCGCTGTCATTTGGATTTGTGCATTTTAATTCCATAATTAACTCAATTATTTTCATCCTATGCTTGTCCGTAATATCAATCTTGCAGATTTTCCTTGTGATGTTGGGCTTCTGGAATCAGTAGATGCCATTCACGAGCCCAAGAATTACATTAACTACACCTGGTTTTCACTAGAATATATTAGTCAAGAAGATCAAGAGTCAGAAAATAATTTATTTGAACCTCGCTTTGGAGGACATCAGACTCTTGAGGAAAGAGAAAGATCATTTTATGGGGTAAACCAGACCCTTCATTGTGGTTTTATCAAGGGAAAAGGAGGATATTCAAGCACTGGATTTGATTTAGATGAAAGAGATAAGGCTTATATGAACAACTGTAAGGTTGCTGTTTCTTCGTGCATTTTTGGAAGCTCTGATTTTCTCAGGAGGCCTACAAGTAGATTGGTAATCCTGTCATCTATTTTCAATCTTTTCTTGATGTGGAGTATATAAGAATTTACAAGTATTGTTGGCCTGTGTTTTCTTTATGATATCGTCTTGCTAAAATTGTTTCTAGAAATAATAGTACTGAGGTGATTAAAATTTTGATCGAACCCAAGCTAGACAAGTGACAAGTATGTTGAAGATAATTAGCGGTCTGAATTTGGGCGTCTTTGTGTCTTCACCTGCTCAGCAATATAAACTCCGCGGAGAAATATGCAATGGTGACAGAAAGACTAAGGTAAAGTAAAATTTAGAGGGAAAAAATACGAGAGGGAGCTGAGACCTCTCTTAAAACGAGAATTCATGCTCAAATATACCATTCGCTACACTGGATCGTCTATGATTTAGGGTCCGTTTGGATCAGCGATTGAAAAGTAGCTTATTGAAAAAGTAGCTTTTGGAAAAGTGAAATTGGGTAAAAGCTAAATTAGATAAGCTGAATTGTGTTTGGATTGGAGTTCAGAAAAGCTAGTTTGCAAAAGTGAGATTAGTAAAATATTGTTTGGATTATGGCTGAGTAAAAGTAAATTTAGTTGTAAAATGACCCAAATGGGTATGAGTTTTAACAAATAATGAAACATTATTAAAAAAAATAATTTCACATAATACAATGAAATTAAAATAATTTAATATGAAGAAGTCACAAAAAATATTTTAAGTATAAAGTGAAACATGAAAAAATAAAAGCATATTTTTAGGAGCATATTTAAAAATAAAAGTATATTTCTAACTTATTCATTACTTTCAAATAATTTTAACTGATTTTTTATTATCTACAAATTAGTTATTTGAGGCTTATAATAAGAACCAAAGGAGATAATAAATTTTTTAACTTTCTCTCTCTCTATATTTCAAAAGCTATAAGTCATAAGCTGTTAATTTTAGCTTATAGCTTATTGGAGCTTTTCATACAAAAGCCCGATTGCAGAAAAGCTGATCCAAATGGACCCATTGTGTCAATCGGGCTTATAGAGCTTATAAGGTACTTATAAGCTCAAAATAATTGATGCTAAACAGGCACTTAGCATATTGGGTTTCATTTATGAACTATCCAATGACTAGCATCTTCACTGATTAGCATCATCTTTGAATATTCCCAGTTTAGTTTTGTTCATGATGATTTTGGTTGTTACTCTTTTTTCAAGATCTATGTATGTTGAATGGGTCTAATGTATGATAACATTAGCATGTTATGTGCTGAGGAATAGAAGTTATTTATCCACCTTGTTTTTGTGACTATAAGATGTTGAAAACTAATCATGTGTCTACTTTATAGTGTCAACTTTCAAGTGTCTGTAAATTACTTAGCATGAATTATGTATGCCTAATTGCTGCAGATCAGTCAATATTCAAAGGACAATGTTTGCTTTGTCATGTTTTTGGATGATCAAACTCTGTCCAAATTATCATCTGAAGGAAACAGTCCTGATGATAGAGGGTACATTGGCCTCTGGAAAATAGTTGTTGTAAAAAACTTGCCATATGAGGACATGCGGAGAACTGGCAAGGTGCCAAAATTTTTATCACATCGCCTGTTCCCAAATTCTAGGTAGTTCTTGCAATTTGTTGTAGCATCCTGGTTTCTTGGCTATCCATTCCTCAATCTAATGTTTATTTAAAATCCTTGATTGTTAGGTACTCAATTTGGCTTGACAGCAAGATGCGACTTAATGCTGATCCATTGCTGATTATTGAATACTTTTTGTGGCGGAGGAAGGCCGAATACGCCATCTCAAATCATTATGATCGCCACTGTGTGTGGGAGGAGGTACTCCAAAATAAACGCTTGAATAAGTATGACCATGCGGCAATTGATGAACAGTTTAACTTCTACCAATCTGATGGTCTCACAAAGTTTGATCCTTTAGCTTCTAATAATCCTCTTCCAAGTTGTAGGTCTCCTTGGTATCTTCGTTTACTATGGAATTTTTGTTGGGTCGTGTGATTGGTTATGTGGTTCAAATGTTTGTCTTTCACCTTGCAGATGTTCCTGAGGGTTCCTTGATAGTCAGGGCGCATACACCAATGTCTAATTTATTTTCATGCCTCTGGTTCAATGAAGTGGATCGATTTACATCCCGTGATCAACTAAGCTTTGCATATACTTATTTAAAACTCAGGCGAATGAATCCTGATAGGCCATTTCACTTGTACATGTTCAAGGTAGGCCGTTCTTTATTTTATATTTTTCTTGTTCATTGTTTATTCTGCACGCATTCTGTAATCTCCCTCCGAGGCCATATTAGTTGGTGGCTTTTTGTCTGCAATGACAAGGACACGAGTCCTACTTGGGCGCTACTTGACAAATAACCTTGCTCTTGTATATAACTGCTGGTAACATTTTGAAAAGCTTGCTTGGTTAAAACCCTCCTGATGAGTCTTGCATCCCAACAGACTTGTAATATATATACTCCTCCGGTCTTAAATATAAGACTCATTTTGTAGTGTAAATTACACTACAAAATGGGTCTTATATTTGGGACCGGAGGAGTATAATTTTTTTTTTTTGGTGAACAGACTTGTAATGTTTTTCATCAGTTCTACTTAACTCTCATCATTTCTGCGTTGTTACGTATAAATTTATAATATATATTAAATAAATGGGATAATTTGTATAAATATCATAAATTTTTGCAGGATTGTGAACGCAGAGCATTGGTGAAGCTATTCCGGCACCGGCTTCTTCCATCTTAACCAGACTGCTTGATCAGTTTAACCTCTGCAAGGTTGCCTTTTGTGGCTGCTTTAATCCTGTAATCCTGAGTGTGACCCTTACCTTCTTTAATGCCCCATTATTTTTAAGGATTAAACTTCGATGTAATTCCTTGTATCCTGTCCTTCAGGATCTCAAATTAAAACATGACATTCAGAGTTTTTGAAACTTAATATGACACTTGTCATCAAAGACTCGTACATTTGTTAGTTGTAGCTAGAGAGCCTATCGGCAAGTATACAAGGAACTGCATCTAAGAGTAACCCTTAATGGACCATTTTAGGATGGTGTTTGCAAGAATTTCTCTGCCTTCGTTTATATTAATTGGGGATTTGATCAAGATTAATTAACGCATACCTGAGCTCCTGACATGATGTATCTGATGTGAGCAGGGATTCACACTGAAGGCAGAATGTATTTTATCATATTTGGCTTCGTTTCAGCTCTGATTCGTCAAAATTGACGTATGATTAAAGCTTGGACAAAACACTACATTTCTTCTTCGGAAGTGGACTGTTTATTCTCCTTGTAACCAATGTTGATGGTGGTTGCTGCTGCTGTATGATGAAGAGAAAGATGATGAAGGTTTTGATTTCCCAGCTTCCTCACGTTCGCTAAGTAGGCGTGAAGTGGAGATTTTTGCTAACTTTTTTTTAATTGATTTGTTTACATTTTCAAATTTGGGTAAGCACTGACATGTCACTGGTCCTCTGTTCTGCCCCAGAAAAGTTTAGAGTGGTTAGCAGGACTAAATATCTGTAAATTGTTCTTTTTCAGTGGATGTACTGTTTTTTTAATAGGTCTTTTTAACTTGACCAGCTACTGAAAAATTTTATTTTATTTTTAAAATTATTTGTTAAGTACATCATAGAGGGGATGTTTTAATAACTCTGTTTATCTATTTAATTTGCGCGTAGACCTTCAGTTAGATTTTAAGTTGAAAATACCCAAGCATGACAATTGAAAAATCTCGCTTTTATAATTATAATGAACCTAATTTCATGGGAAATTCTGTGTTCTACAGAGCATCTTGGGACAGTCCATGTTATTGCCAATAAATATTTGACATAAATTAAGGAAGCTATACAGCATGTGTGGCACTAGAATGTGGGTTCAATCCACCTTCAAGCATTAGCTTGTAATTCAAACAAGTTAATAATTATGAGTGTTTTCTTTATAAAAACTTACAAGTCAATAGTTGATGCGGTTCAATAGTTTATAATTAATTCCAAAGCAGGAAAATTCACTTATTTATTGGGCACCGACTTTCCAAACTGTAAAGGGGCTTTTCTCTTCAGGGAAGCAACTGGGGAGATAATGTTTACTGATTTGGATCCGGATTCCTGTAAGCTCAAAGCAATGAAGCATAAATAACCTAAATTACAGTGACATGAATTTGAAGATATAGTTGTTGCAAACGTCCCTTCCTATGAATTCGTGTTATAATCAAGCGGCAACTTTTTTCTTGGCCAGAATTTATATTACTCCTCCAGCCCTTAATATAATACTTATTTAACTAATTTGATTAAAATAAAAAAATTAGATAAGTTAGTTAATTATAAAAAATATAACATATTTTTTCTAAAACCACAATCATTTTTCTAATATCTTTTTCCCCTCACTTGCTTGATTATGGTTGATGAAGTATTTACATGGATAATTTAGAAAAAATTAATAAATATGATAAATAAGTCTTATATTTAGGATCAAAACTAACTTAACAATTAGGTCATATATTAAGGATCGGAGGAGTAGAATTTATCATAGGAATAATCCAGCAGCAACTTTTTTTCCTGGCCAGAAATCAAGCAGCAAAATTTGAATGAGGAGGCAAAATTATCCCTTGCTGGGGCAAAATTAACTACAGGAACCAGTAATTTAGGATTTTTTTTTTTGGCAAAAAAAGCTCCAAGCTGTTGTAGAAATATGCCGAAGACAACCACATAGAATTTGACGTCAAAACATTTTAGTGGAGCCGATGGGGACTAGCCTGGTGAGATGCTCTCCCGGTAACGCATTATTCAGAGCTCTCAAACCTCCGAATTCAAAGCTTTTTGGATTTTCTTCGATGTCGGTTCGCTACGGTCAGCTACATTTCAACTACTCGTACCCATCGTTTTCACTTAACCAAAACATGATTTTTTTTTTTCCCCATCCGGGTACAGAAATAGATTACTTGTTGATCAATAGGAAGTGGTTCATTCGCTTACTGCGGGAGTGTAACATGTTCTGGCCATTCTTGCTCAAGTTTCTCTGTTTGTCTCTGTTTCTGCTCAAATTTTGATCGTAGATGGATCGAATTCTCGTGGGAGGGCATATGATGCTTTGCTTTTGGACGCTGGAGGTACCCTTTTGCAATTGGCAAAGCCAGTTGAGGAGACTTACTCTGCAATTGGAAGAAAATATGGTTAGTTTGCGATCGTTGATTTATAAATTCACTCAGCAACTACCAATAAAAGGCCATAATTATCTTAATGCTGCGTCTCTTTTACTCAAAAAAAGAAAAGGAATGAAAATAACTAGCTTCATTCCCAATCTGCTATTTGCTATCTACTATCTATGTCTTATTACAATAAAGTCAAGCCAAGTTATGTGGCTTCGCTTGGCGTGTGAATAGTATTTTTTGGATGGCATAATTTGGTTGTTTGTATTTAATTATTTTGGTGATTTGAATTTGAATTATTTGCAGTCAAATTTGAATTGGAAAGTAAAGTTTATGGCTAGACTATTGTAGTAGAGTTCTTTAGATCTTAACGTATCTGTGCAACGTACGGTGGTCATTTTTAGTTTTCGAAAGTCATGGGCTTCCCATATGAATCCCTAAGTTACATTGCTCCAGTGAATCAAGTGAGTTAACTTAAAAATGTACTTTGTATGACTCTCACTTGTTAATACGTGGCTTGGAGTCATGAATATACCTGATAGCTTTCTGTCAACATTTTTAAGGTTTGACTGTGACACCAGCTGAGATAAAGCAAGGGTTTAGGAGAGCATTTGCTGCCCCTTGGCCTGAAAAGCTACGTTACCAGGTTTGTGCTCTGTGCGTGATAATCTGTCTGTGTGTGTGTGTACTTTACAATGATGCTCTGTATTTACTTGACCTTTATTCAAAGCTCATTCACACCTTTGGAGATGCCACTTTTCTTTTCTGGATGAGATTGCTTCCGATCATCTAATGGTTATTTGGAAACCGTGAGGACAGTGTTATATAGAGTGTACATAGTTCTAGTCTCTATGCCTCCAGCGGTTAGATAAAGTTTTGGTGACCTTGTACTTAGCACATATGACTTTCTATAATGACATATTTGGTTTGCTAGAGACCAGTTTTGTGCAAAAGGATTCTAATTGTTCCATAATGAAAAATTTTCTTTCATTGAAACACTACCGTGGTACTTATCTATGTTTACAAATTGACTTGCTTATGCGTAACTTCTGTGTCACTTTTGCAGTCAATTTTCTACTGTATCTATTTCATGATTATTGATGTCAGATGGTTTACCTAGTAGATTTCTTTCATAAACATATAATCTAGTCCAGAGATTGATCTCTTTTCTTCAAGATACGTAATATACATAAACAGAAAAGCAGCATGTAAAGGGTGCTTAATGCCGGTTTTCTTCAAGATACAGCAGTAACAGATTTTTAAGTTGTATTCATTACAGGGAGACGGGAGGCCATTTTGGAAGCTTGTGGTTTCTGAAGCCACGGGTTGTGCTGATGAAGATTATTTTGAGGAAGTTTATGAGGTAACCCTTCTCATGAGCATACCGTTCTTTTCCAACTCTTGATGGCTCTCAAGCGAACTGCTTGTATCTGAACTTCTAAGTAATGTTCTTGTCAGTACTATGCAAATGGTCATGCGTGGCATCTTCCAGATGGAGCTTATGAAACAATTTCCCTTCTCAAGGATTCAGGAGGTCAAATGAATTACACATATTTCTTTATCCTAGACCACTAAAATTATGTGCCCTGACTTATCTAAGTTCTTTGGAGTTCGACATTTGTTCTTTCTAACATGAAAAGCAGTGACACAGTTAAGATGGCCGTTGTTTCCAATTTTGACACTCGATTGAGGAAGCTATTGAAGGATCTTAGTGTATTAAATCTGTGAGCATCGATAATTTCTTGAACATGTTATTACTTAGCTTTGTTGCATTCTTGAACATTTGGATGACATTGACATAGCTGAGGAGATTTTTTCTTGTCAAACCTCTAAGTTTTCAGAAATCCATGTTGTGCATGAACCTCTCTTGGTGTTTATCCATATAAAATTTTGGTTTTTATCTTAGGTTTGATGCTATTATTATATCATCAGAAGTTGGATATGAAAAGCCAGATCCAAGAATATTTGAAGCTGCTTTAGGTATGTATGGTCTTCATGTATCAAGTAGATACTGGTCGTATTTTCACCTGTTAATTTATCACCACTTTTGTAAATTATTTTGTTCCACATTTCCACTCATCTCTGTCTTGCTTAACTTCTATTGCCTAAAGTGTAAAACGGTAAATATAGGAGATACTCTAGAATAAAATTATGATTATAACAAAATCAATAATCTATATATATATATATATATATATATATATTACAAAGTTACATTTGGAATACTAGAGGATGAGGAAGACTTGAAGAAATATTGTCTTGAACTATTTTTTGTATCATATGGATCAAAACCGATTTTAGAAAATCACTTCTGCAAGAATGCTGCAAGCATGTTAGTTTAATTAATTCTAACGAAAAGTGGCACTGTTCACTGCATTGCTACATCTAGTCCCACAATGATGCTAGAATTTGTTGAATTTTTTGTCACAAGTTTTTTGCCTTTTACTAGATCAAGTTGAAGTAGAGGCAAGCAGAGCCTTACACATAGGAGATGATAAAAAAGCAGATAAATTAGGGGCCAATGCAGTTGGAATAGATTGTTGGTAAGAGCTTTCTTGTCTAATGCTGATACCTCCTCTCTTGGACTGATAGAAATATCTCAATGTCTGTTCACTGCATGTATGCTTTTTTTTTTTTTTTGGGGGGGGGGGGGGGGAGTTCTTTAACGTCTGCATTTATTTGTTGGCTGAGATTTGAGTACATTGCTATCTTCTAAAAAGCATTTTATGCTCATCTGTGAAAAGCAGGTTATGGGGAACTGATGTGAAGACATTCTCTGATATAAAAATCCGCATTCTCAATTTGGAGTCATAGTTTTCAACCATAGAAGCAATCTTGGGAGTTTTGTATTAGGTCGTGTTAGTGATGTTATCTATCCTCTTGAATTTCTTATCTATGTTGCAATGATGCCATGAAATAATTGCTGCTTAAGTTTTCCTAAATAATATGGTGTAACTATTATAATTGTGTTCATAATGAACAGCAGCCAAATGAACCCCTTTGTCTGATAGCAGAAATCGCTTATTCCGCTTTTAAAGCAGCCATGCAGCCAAATTTGCAATGCTAAGCACATGGGAAATTCTCCACAAGTAAAAATTGCTCTTCCTTTGAAAGTAACATTACTTTTACTGGGTCATTGGGCTTTAGATAAAATCATTCATTCTCCCACGTCAGTTACATAGAAAACTACACACAGAACTGAAGCTGTGAGAGAGATCATCCCGTATCATGGGAGTTTAGTTATCTGATAGTAAAATTTTTTTACGGAGTAATTGTACAAGAAAATTTGTTAGATGATTTCCATCCCTTGTAACCTTATAAGGGACGGGGCAAATGTATTTATGGGCGATTTAATTGAGCATACTAAATATTTATATGTAAACATGCATCAATACACAACATATAGGCTAGTACATTAATGATGAGT